TTAAAGAAATTACTAAAATTATCTGATGTTAGGTTAGATGTCAGTAAACGCGTTGAAGTACCTTTTTTAGTCAATGTATTAATTGCTTTCCATATATCTTTGGTGTTTGTTTTATCTACTATTAACATTTTAAAAAAGTTTTTTTTTCTCCTTACGAATGGCATACTGGACTTTGTTTCGCAGGCCCCGGTATCTGATTGGGTCTTTTTTTAATGTGCCTTATCTCGCTCTTTCATAATTTTAACTACTTCCTGGGTGATCCATAGGGATTTAGTCTGATGTTTCACACGGACCTCCCTTATTGGCACATGTTTATAAAATACGCAAAAGAAGGTCTTAAGTCAATATTCAAAAGCGTCATCTGGGTCAGGAAGTTAATAAACATGGCCAAGAGGTGAATTGAGCAGGAATGTATCTTGATTATAGATTGACAGACAGACAGACAGACAGACAGACAGACAGACAGACAGACAGACAGACAGACAGACAGACAGACAGACAGACAGACAGACAGACAGGCAGGCAGGCAGGCAGGCAGGCAGGCAGGCAGGCAGGCAGGCAGACAGACAGACAGACAGACAGACAGACAGACAGACAGACAGACAGACAGACAGACAGACAGACAGACAGACAGACAGACAGACAGACAGACAGACAGACAGACAGACAGACAGACAGACAGACAGACAGACAGACAGACAGACAGACAGATAGATAGATAGATAGATAGATAGATAGATAGATAGATAGATAGATAGATAGATAGATAGATAGATAGATAGATAGATAGATAGATAGATAGATAGATAGATAGATAGATAGATAGATAGATAGATAGATAGATAGATAGATAGATAGATAGATAGATAGATTACCACATAATCTAAGGATAGATAGATAGATAGATAGATAGATAGATAGATAGATAGATAGATAGATAGATAGATAGATAGATAGATAGATAGATAGATAGATAGATAGATAGATAGATAGATAGATAGATAGATAGATAGATAGATAGATAGATAGATAGATAGATAGATAGATAGATAGATAGATAGATAGATAGATAGATAGATAGATAGATAGATAGATAGATAGATTACCACATAATCTAAAAAAAAATTGCTATAAGATTGGAACCCAGAAAAACATTTCCAGTCTAAAAAGAGACAAAAACTCGATACATGCCAGTTTAAATCATGAAAGGCTTGAACAGAATATCACTTATTAAATCACTGATAGTACGATCACATTCACCACCACTACCCTGACTACTACTACTACTGCTGCTGCTGCTGCTGCTGCTGCTACGTAGGTATATTGATAGAAAGCAAAATATTCACCTGACTATTTTTTTGTCTGATTTCTGAAGAGATGTACAAAGTTGCAAATTTTTTTTTATAAACAGGTGCCTTAGGCCAAAAAGGTTTCAGAACTATGTTGATAAATACCTTATATGAATCACTCCTAATAAACTCGTGACAGCGTATCCATGTGTCAGCTAGAGATATAGATAGTGCATGGTTTTGGATTCTTACCTACTTTCCCCATGTTTAAATATATCCACAGGTCCATCTCATTGCTCAGTCTATTGGTCAGGCATTCCAAGTGGCATACATAGAACTCCTGACATCCCATGGCATCAAAGACCTTAGTTTGCTCAAGGAGATGGACTATCAACATGTACTTGACCAGCAGCAAATCTATGGAGAGGAACTTAATCTTTTTGCCAACAAAGATTTCCATAAAGAGGTAAGGACAATTTCCGTCAACCGTTAGCATAAAGCTCTCAGAAGATGGTGAAATACTGGGCAAATTCTGAGAAGAAGCAAGCGAAATCACTAAATAAGCACTGAAATGAGAAGCAAACAGGTTTAGGAAACAATGGCGTCAAAGAGACACCGTTAAATGAACGTTGAAGACAGAGGTACAAAGTGATGTAAAAAGGTGGTGAAGATTCTTTTTCTTCTTCTTTTTCTTCTTCTTTTTCTTCTTCTTCTTCTTCTTCTTCTTCTTCTTCTTCTTCTTCTTCTTCTTCTTCTTCTTCTTCTTCTTCTTCTTCTTCTTCTTCTTCTTCTTCTTCTTCTTCTTCTTCTTCTTCTTCTTCTTCTTCTTCTTCTTCTTCTTCTTCTTCTTCTTCCTCTTTTTCTTTTGTCGTCTTACTGATACAAGGTTGTAGCCTAGAAGTTTTCTGTATTTGTCTTGCCCTTCTCGGGTGGCTTGTGTGATGGATTTGTTAATCTTTTTGCAGGTTTCATCTACACAACTTATCCATCTCTTTCTTAGTCTTCCTCTCGCCTTCATCCCAGATTTTTTACTGTAAAGTGTATCATGTGCAGTTTGGTCTGGCTGCATTCTGACTAGATGGCTGAACCCATTAATTCTTTGTCTGTCAATATAATTCAGACATGGTCTTTTTCCAACTTTCTCTCTAATGCTGGTATTCGTAATCCTGTCTCGTCTAGTGTTGTTAGTGACCTTGCGGAGACAGCGCATTTCACAAAATTATTTTCTGCTCCAGTGGCCTATTCATTGTCCATGTCTGGCACTGATAACATAAAGAAGGGATAAATATGATATTAATCATTTGCTGTATTGCTGGAGCGGCGTCCGTGGCTTAGGCGTTAGAAAATTGACTCGTAATTCCAACATATCGCGATCGAAACCCACGGCCGGCTACGTGGATTTTTATCATGGTATGTGCGTAGCAGGTCGACCCAACCTAAAATGGGTACCAGAATGGGTGTCCTGGGGATGTAAAGACGGCTGTCGTAATGCTGACCACGTTACCCACCAAGTGCAGATTGGTCTGTAAAAATACGGGACGCTTTTCCTATTGCCTAAGGGGTAAATAGAGATCTTTCCTTTTTTGTTGTTTGTTTTGTTTTGCTGGAAGGGAGACATTTAGGTGTCTAAGCAGTAGGGCTAACTGGTAGGTTATTTGCCTTCTGTACTCTGGCTTTTATCTATTTATCGAGTCTGCCACCCTCCGTCATAGATATCCGAATTCTTGTACTTGTTTGATTGTAGTACCGTTAACATGAAAGTTCATAGTATTATGTTTCTTGCCTATCCTCATTATCTCAGTTTTTGCGGTGTTTATTATGATGTCATACTTTATGCAGGCTAACAAAAGTTTAAAAAAAAAAAAAAGTAAAGTCATTAGATGTGAACCAACGTAATTGCACACGGTTATAAACCATAAGTGCTCTGCAACCAGTACGGACAGCTGATAAGAAACTGTCCGCCTGTGTCGCCGTCCGCACGCAACTCCGTAGCTACAGCGACGTTACTCCATTTACCCCAAAGTGTTAACTCTTGTAACCATTACCTAGAGGCTGGGTAAACCCCGGAAACCGCCCGGTTTGGAACACCGGCCGTTGGCTGCAGCGAGTCGCAGCTACATTTGAAAGCGAGTCTACTATCGACTGCACTAACGCGGCCCTGACTGGTTTAAGAAGTCAATATGGTGTTATAAATTCTGTTCTTGGTGGTGTTTTAGACATTGATTAAATCCGTGGCATGGAAAGGATTGCACAGGATACAATGGAATGGATGGAATAGTCTGCGGGCTCTGTGTGACGTATTACAGCACAACACGATGATGATGAGGATGATGATGAGCATCAACATCCTCATCATCATGGTAAATATGATGTTGCATCTCACTAGCAGCCACGACCGCAAAAGGATTAGCGCACTTGCCTATTAAAAAGGGTTCGATTCATCAAGACGGGTTTTTAAAAAAAAGCATTGGTCTGAAGTCTCCAACGCAGTCTATTAATAAATATCAGGAAATGTTTTGGTTAATAAATGTGTCAGCATGATATTATTGAACCATATAGTGTGGTATATAAAGTGGTACAGCCAGCACTAGCACTATATGTCCAATATAATTGTACACCAAACATGCACGACCCAAATTGTGACTTGATCTTTTTTAGCGACGCAACACCACCATCATCATCATCAGTTCTCGTTATGCCTAGTGGCACCTGAAGCTTCAGAGAGGACTTTCCATGCTTTCCTTTCCTGTGCAATCTTCAGTGCAGCTTTCCATGTCAGAGGTGCCGCATTCAGGTCACTCTCCATCGTTCGCCTCCGTGTTGTTTTTTGGCGCCCCTTCTTTCTATTTCCCTCTGGTTTTTATAACTTTTAGGGACGCAGACACAAAGAAAATACGGTGGTTTTGTGGAAAAGGGGGGGGGGGGGGGAATCTGACCCCCCAACCTATCTTAACTATCTATATTGGTGTAAGTGGTGTTCAACTTTCTGTAAAAATATTTTTTTGTAGAGCGCCTCAAATCTCTTTGGTTTCCGCACCTGCGTCTAGTTACAAACTGCGCGGTCAACACATTTCTTGCTCTTCAATTAGTTATATGTGTGGGTTTTAACTGCTACTTTATTTACATCGTCATCTCTTTCATCCTCGTCATGCGCTTTGCTGTTGAGTGCTAAACTTCGAAATGACCCAGAAAAGTCGTATTAGAGAGCAGGAACGTCACTGACAACATTCTTGTCCGTCTTGTGGGCGAGCATTAGCACACAGTGCGCATTCGAACAGGAATCTATCTTTTAAATACAATTGCCATTACTGCCTTTATTTACTGTGGTTAAGGCAGGGGCGGGGGGGGGGGGTGTCTTTGAACCTGAGTATTTAAGGCCTGGCAAGAGTTGTCATCACTGTGCAGGTTAGGATTTTTATTTTGCCCCCCGACAGAGAAAAAAATTCTCAGTCTTACTGAGGGTTCGAACCCAAGTCTACAGCATGAGAGCGCATCGTGCTTAATCATTCACCAGGTGCTCCTCTTTCAGGAATCTGCACTCGGCGAAAGTTGCTCTTTCCCTTTAATCTCATCCCCAAGATTATGTCGCTTCATATCTACCCAGCTGGTATAAAAGCTGGTTCAGTGATGTCGATCCTCTAGACTCAAACATTTGAGCTTTCGAAGTTGCTAAAAGATGCCTTTCTTTTTTCTATTCATGCTTCAACATAGGTGATAGTGCCAAAGTGTAAGAATGAGCCTCTTGGTGTGGTCATTGTGGAGTCTGGGTGGGGATCTATGGTTCCAACAGTTGTCCTAGCCAATATGCTACCCAATGGTCCAACTGCTCGCTGCGGTCAGCTGAACATTGGTGACCAAATCATCTCTATCAACGGTATCAGCCTGGTCGGACTACCGCTCACTGTCTGTCAGACGTATATTAAGGTAATCGTATTATTGTATTCTTATTTCCCCCTTTCATCTTTTGATACCATTTAATTCACCACAGATTCCTTGTTTAGTCCAAGGAGAGTACACTTTTTTTTATCTCTTCTATCCTAACTTGTAATTTATATTCATTTGTTCCAAAGTCTGATGATTACTACTGCTGAAGTTTAAAAACATTGAATACGTTACATTTAAACTTCGTAGGATAGAAAGAATTTAAAAAAAAAATATTTACAGGATGGTACTGAAAGAGTTAGGAGCGCATATTTGTAATTTATGTTCATGGGAATATCTATATTTATCAGTGATATATGTTGGTTTAAAAGATTTAAATATAAAAAATAGTTCTATGTCCTTTAGCAGACGTCGCAAATCATTCACTGCGTTTAGGAGAAAGGCGAGACGGATTTACAATCAGACAGTTACTGGTACCATCGGAATTTTAACTCTTCGCTTGCTGCTGAAGATGAGGACGGAGCGCTTATGGGGGTGTTCCGAGTACTGTGATGTAGTTTCTTAATTCAACATTCACATTCACAGCGTTTGTTGATTGCTGTTCGGTTATGCTAGGCAATGTTTTTTAAATTCAGTAACTTTTAGACTTAAATGTAAATATGTGAAGTTTGCCATCGTGAGGTCTCATATGTAACTTCTACTGTATACTTATCCACTATTTGACTTCTGTTGGATACATCTATACCTACATTTAAATACGGTAAAATCTCGTTAAAACAAACTCGCTTAAGATAAAAACATGATTTTTACTAACAAAATGTTGATGCCAGCAGGGATTTATCAGTGTTATTAGTTCCCGGTTAGCACGAATAGTTATTAAAAATTTATTATTTGGTCGGTTGGAATTCTTGTTAACGAGGTTTTACCTTATATAAAGAAATATTAAATTTAAAAGGAAGAACATGGGAGAATGCTGGAACAGAAATTAGTTAGAGAAAAGATTAAATGGTTTCTCCGTCTGACAATAATGCCACGGTACTAACTACAAATAACAGCCAGGCTGAAGACATATAACGAGCACGGAGCAAAAGCAGGATCACGCACAAGATAAAACAACGACAAAACAGTCTTAGAGGAATCATGACCAACTAACACAGCTCATTAGCAAAAGCACAGAAAATACCCTCTCGCACCTCCTCTCAACACTTAACAGTGGTAACTGGAAGATAAAAAGAAGAGGCAGACTTGACTAATGTATCCACTTGGCACGGTTTTTAAAGGCAACTTCAAAATATCTGCATGTAGTTTATCTTTGCTTATTCTATTATTAACTGTCAATATTGATTTCTATTGCATTTTCATATATTTGCAGGCGTCACGACCTGAGTCAGTAGTCAAACTAACAATCGTGCCATGTCCACCCGTGGTAGAGGTCATCATAAAAAGACCAGATGTTAAGTACCAGTTAGGATTCAGTGTCCAGAATGGGGTGGTAAGTTGAGGCTGCAATCGTTACAGTTTCTGCTTTAATATTTGGCTACGAATTACCAATCAATTCCCACAATCGACTTTGCAGTCACATGTACACAACATTTATGATTGGCGAATCAGCCATGTGCACCTGCGGACTGGCACCTCAGACCTTTTCCAAGTCTGTCCCAAATACAACATGTGGCAAAACTTTAGGCCAAGAGATACACCCGTGGAAGCCGAACTTTAAGGGTAGCTGAGTGAATTACAAAAGACAGTGAAATTCATACTAGAGAAAACATTGCAAGTATAGATAATATATTTCAAGCGAACGAAAGAAGAAGAAGAAGAAGAATCACAGAAGTAATTTTGGCTCATTAAAAATCAAATAGTTTGAATGATTTAAAAAGTAAACAAAGTAAGCTTTTTGACAAGTCAAAGGAAATCGTTAAAGGCTTGCAGAGAAACTGGAGTCATCTGGTTACTCTGTATATTTAAGAAAAAAGATCTGTACCAAGCGATTGGCAAAAACTGGCAAATATAGAATTACTTTGGGGAGTCCTGGAGAATAATATAATAAAAGAAACATTGTTAGACTGCACAAAAGCTATCTATAAATAAAGTACAAGTGCCGGAAGAACTAGAGCTGGTCTTACAGACTGGTTTCCAATAACATCAGGAGTCAGGTCAAGAATGTTTTATTACCTTTTTTTTTATCTTTATAAAAACAATATTAAAAAAAATTCCCAGCTGGATAAAAACAGGAACATTTCAACAAAATGATATCCGCCGACGACCAATGCTTATTCCACAGTCAAGTCGATCAATTTCAGAACTATATTAACCAACTACACGACAGTTGTCTCAGACATAATTCGAAAATAAACATTGAAAACATAGAAGACAAGCGTACAGCAAGAGAGCGTAGAGCATGCAAATAGAAACACCAACAGGCAAGGGGCGAGCATGAAAACTAAAGGTAAAGGTGAAGTCGGGAGATGTGAACCAGCGTCATTGCACACGTTTATAAACCATAAGTGCTCTGCCACCAGTACGGACAGCTGATAAGAATTGTTCGCCTGTGTCGCCGTTTGCACGTAACTCTTTTGCTACAGCGACATTCCTCCATTTACCCCAGAGTGTCAACCCTGGTACCCATTTCCTAGAGGCTGAGTGAGAGTGAGCCCCGGAAGCAGCCCGGTTTCGAACACCGACCGTGGGCTGCAGCAAGTCGCAGCTGGATTTGAAAGCCAGCCTCTTATCGACTGAGCTAACGCGGTGAGAAGACTATGGACTGAAAGGAACACTGATATCTTGAGTCTTCACAACAGCACAGCAAACAGGCCAGCCGAGCGTGCCCTAACTCAGAATCCAATCACCCATTAAACTGTTACACCTAGCGACACAAAGCAGAAACCGGATAAAAAGAAGAAGAAAGAAAATCTGCTGGAACAAAATTACCCGAAACCTTGAGTTCCTTAATTGTTTTCTTCGTTGTTAAAGATGCTTGTTACATATTTTATCTTTCCTTTCGAGAAGCTTCGCATTTTCATGTTGTGTTGTTCGGATCTAGGCAATAACAGTATAAGCACCCCCCCCCCCCCCCCACCGAAAAATTTCATTTTATGTTAATTCGCCCTCCCCCCCCCCCCCCCCCCCCCTAAAAAAAATTGCATTTTATGTTAAAGGGTCTAAATTCTTATCTTTACCAGTGTTTATTTTGTTAAAAGTGCCTGAAAACTTGTCGCCCTCACCGTTTTTTATTTTTATTTTTTATTTTATTTTAATGAAAAATGGATTTTATCCACAGATTTGCAGTTTACTTCGAGGAGGCATCGCTGAAAGAGGAGGTGTTCGTGTTGGACATAGAATCATTGAAATCAACAACCAGAGTGTGGTGGCTGTACCTCATGATAAAATTGTTAATTTACTGGCCAGTTCTGTGGGAGAGGTACGATGACATTTTTACTTTATTGGTCAGTTCTATAGGAGAGGCGAGGTAGGATGGTTACTGCACGGCCATTTTGAGGATATAAATATATATGCAGTCGGACGTGGGTTACTGTATGGTCCATCTTTATTATCATCATCAATTAGCAAGTCCTTTACCGAACGTCGCTCTCTTCACTTCCAGCCTGAAAGTATCCTTTTCCCTAGACAGTTCTCAAACCCCATGCGTTTTCATTTCCAACGCATTTTCAACTACATAGGAGAGATGAAATATGATCATTATTTTATTGTAGGAAGGTAAGATACGACTAATACTTTAAAACAACAACAACAAAAAATACAAATATAATGAAGAGTTTTGATCAAATTGTTACTTTGCTGAGCAGCTCTGTAAGAAAAGTGAGACAATATCATTACTTTATTGACCAACTCTGTAGGGGAGATAAGATAAAATGGTTACTTTATTCTAGCGGAGAGGTGAGATCATGTTTTATACCATGTGTCCGTAAAGTCATGTTGCACATTAATATGTGGTGGCATCATGACTTTACGGACACAGTGTATTTTCTAGACATAACATCACCCATGTGTTACTGTCTCGTGTTCAGATACAGAGATCTTCCGTTTTGTTTCTGCAGGGAGAGACCCAATTTCACATACGCCTTTTGTAAGGGACTTTATAGTTGCACCTTACAAGGAAATAGCATAACCAGATAAATTATGGTGACTGATTTTGAGTCGATACTGCGGAAGGTTCAAAATAGAGAAACGTCTGGGTACGCATGAGTGCGGGGTAATGAAAGAGTGCATTTCTTGGCTACAAAAACAAGAGCCACAGGAACACTTCTTCTGGATAAAGGAGACATTCTGAAGACTATTTATAAACGAATGCTGAAAGAAAACAGTGGTTAGCTGAAATAACATGTGTAAGAATATGTGAACGAGTAATTTGGTGTGGATCATGAAAGGAGGGGAGTAGGAGAGGAAGAGAACGACGTTTGTTTAGTTTGCGATCGGAACAGTTCGCATATACACATTAAGACGTTTGCTGCGGGTGACGGAGCACCAATGAGTATGCCCGGTGTGCATGATATCAATTCTTAAATCGGTAAACTTTACAAGGAAAACTGATGTTACCTTTTCATGTCGAATTCACTCTTCTCAGAAGTGAAGAGGTAATCTCCAAGTGTGCTAACGACTCTATTAGAGACCCATGGTAACATTCACGTGAACTCCCAAGTCGACCATGCATAAAACAGGTAACAGAAATGTTAGGAAAACTGAACGGTACTTTACTTCTAGTTCACCCCATCTCGGGGACACAGAGATTTCTTGGGGAGTTTCCGGGAAAGTCAAATATTATGGGGGGGGGGGGGGGGAGGTAGTGTTAGTCGGTGTTAATTCAACACCATAAGACTCCTATACTATTGGACTTTCCCGGAAGCCACACGAAATCTCGGAGAATTAAAAGAAAAGAATCGAACCTTACACTCCGTCCCTAATAGTTTCTCTGCATCGGCGTCCCTCCTCCTAACGTTAATTAAGATGAGATTGATGCACAACTTTTAACCATGATTTTACTATTGTTTTTCAGATTCACATGAAAACTATGCGAACGTCAATATTTAGACTCCTCACTGGCCAGGACGTGCCTCATTATTTGTAATCCAACTATTTGATTTGATTTGATTAAATGATTGTTTTTGGTTATTACTGCCTGATATCCTTATGCACACTGTAATCGACTACTTTTTCTTTAAGTCCATACCGTGTGGCGTTGGTAGTCATGTCCATCCACAACCTTCTGTCTCGCGTACTTTCAATCAGCTCTTACACTGATGATCTTCCATGCTATGATGTCAAACAGTGCAGCATTTGTTCTCTCAGTCTCCCTCTGGCTCTCCAACTTTCCTACCGTCACGATGTACTCTATTTATCTCCTTCTCATCACATGACCAAAGAATGTAGATTGTCTCTAAAATCGGCTACTGGCTGTGGGTACATGCATACTAAATATGATAATCTAGATCAGCGGTTCCCAACCTGTGGGTTACGACCCTTTTTTGGGTCGAATGACCCTTTCACAAGGGTCGCCAAAGACCATCGCTAAACACATATTCATTGAAGCTATGAAGTAGCAACAAAAATAAGTGTATGGTTAGAGGTGGCCACAACAAGAAGAATTGTATTGATCGTTCGCTGAATTAAGAAGTTTGAGAACCTCTGATCTAGATTTTTTTTTTTTTTTAAATAGTGTGTTTATGATGGTCATGCAGCTGGTTTCATATTTTTTTCTGGAGCCGTTTTTTAGTTGTCCCAAGTGAGTTCCAGGCTCCATCTTGAAAAAGCAAAGCGGGCGGGTGGGGTGAAAATTGACCCACCTCGCCCTCACAATGCTGTCGTAAATGGTGATTATATATGGGTTTAATGAAATCTAAGTATTGGACCGAACAACGTGTTAACCACCCTTTTTTAAGGGTAAACACATAAAAATAATTTTATCAATAATAATAATAGGAAGAATAAGATGACCCCGGTGAACTCTGGGATTTTTTTCTAGTGGACTTCTAGTAATTTTCCCTGGTCTCTAGGTAGTAAGATCAGACGCCCGTGTGTATTGTTGTGCACGTAAAACATCCCTTGGCCGTTGGAAATTAAAAAGGGTAGTTGACCGGGGTTGCCTGAGCAAAACTTTGAATTAAAATACTACCCAAAGTACTTCAGGATCCTCGCCAGTGCTAAAGAGTTGCATTGCGCTGAGATTGTTCCAACTCAGGCTTGATTTAAAAGTAGAACGGAGCACTTATGGATTACTACCCTTGTGTCATGATGTTGATCCGCTGTCTTCTTCTTCTTCTTCGCGTCCACCAGCTGCAAACTCTGGCGAAAAGTTCTGGTTGTTCATCCACTTTCGGACTGCAGTCCTGTTCCAGAACCTGTGTGTTGCGTGTGCAGCCGTTTTACAAATCTGACTCATTTCTATGCAGACTGCTGGTTCCTTGCCTCTCAGGCAGATGTACTCTGACTTCGAACGAAGCTCCCAATTAGTTTACTCCCACGACATGCGTTTAG